AGTAAAAATGACAGAATAAAAATTTAACAGATAAACTAAATTAAAAGCAAGGTCATAGAAATAGGTTTTGAGTTGTTTCTTAAAACTATCAACAGCAACTTGTCTGATGTGTGGTGGGAGTTTGGTGCATAGCAAGAGAAAGCTGCTTCCCCGAACCTTCTGTAGTTCGTTTTTGGGATATATGTAGCAAGGCCGGGGTCGAAGACCTTAGAGAATGGTTTGGAACATGCTCCGATAGACAATCAGTGTGCTGTTGCATTAAGACATAAAAACAAGTAAATTATTTTAAAATCAATCCTCAGTGATACTGGAAGACAGTGTAAAGACGCTAAAACCAGAGTAATGTGATCCTTACATCCATTCAAACACAAATATGAGAAAAGAATATATTGTGTTTGTATGTTTAGAATAAATGTGTAATTCTGTAAGATATATGTTCATGTCTATGCCACAAATATAGGATCTTTATTCTTTAAGCCTAAATTCCTTCATAATCCAGGCTGACCTGGGCCCCACCAGAGACATTTTTGATTTGGTTGAAATTTGGTATCCAGAAGATAAGGCCGTATAAATGCTCCATCATATAAACTGTGAATAGTAAATAGCGATCATTGCAGCACTTGTGTATTCATCTTTATTTTTAAAAGTGTATTTTTAAAAAGAGGATACAGAAAATGTATACATTTAAAAATCTGTATTTAACCTTAATGTACAACTGAAGATATGTCCCAAACATCCGCTGGTGGTCACTAACATCAGTGGGTGGTATGCATTAATTAGTGCAGTGGAGCATACAAAGGATATTCTCCATCTTGTCCTATGTTCTAAAATGGGACAGGCTTAGTTTAAAAAAGGCATAGAGGTAATGATGTCTGATCTACTAAGCAGGCCAAGTGGTTTTCATAGTGCAGCCATACAAGTCGGTTGTCAGTCAGATTTACCTTTAGCCTCAGCGCACCCTCAAGTTCAGCCTGTATTGTTGATAACAAGGCCAAAACACTTGATGACACTAAGATGGACAACTGAAGTTATGTACGTAACATCTGCTGGTGGTCACTGACATCTGCTACCAGTAGTCAGTAACTTAAATTGTGCAGAAGACCTTCTAACATACAAGGGATATTCACCACCTTGTCATGTATTCTAAAATTGACATAGAATAATCATGTGTTACCAAATTCGGTTGAAGCTTTGGAGAATGTCTATCATTTCCAACAATTTCCACTTCAATGTGTTTTAGTTTATCAGGCTGTGCTAGTGCAGTCTTTTTCAGACTTGACCCCTACATCACAAACACAAACAAATCATTTAAAATGCATTGTAAAAATTATAATTATAAATTAAGTTGAATTACTTTTTGCTTCAACAAAATAGTAAAACAGATTTGAATGGTATGCAGCACCCTCCAGTGGAAACTTAGCCTTGGTGATACAGTGGATGAATGAACCAAAAACTCAAAGTCAATGTTCATTCACTCATGACCTCGCTGTGTACACCAATGCTCCTGTATACACTCATTGACAAAGCCCCCTAAGTAAACAGTATAAATATCACTGAAATACTTGTATTTGTCTACATACTTCACATACTTCACTGACAAAAAGGAAAAGTGATTATAAATGGTAAATCTAAAAAACATACTTTTTAGAATCACATCTTTACAGTATTTTATATCCAGAAGGTGGTGGTTAAAAGGAAGATAGTCCACAGTGAGGTCTGTGCATTATCTAGAGTTACTGTCATGCTGGTTCTTGTCTTTCAAATGTATATTTTTCAATTTGAGAACCTTCCAAACTTTCATGTTAATCTTCTTCAAAAGTGGGAGGAAAACTCTGAAATTAATATCTCAAATATATCTTTACAGGTCCAAATACCTTTCCACAAGACTAAGAAGTTTCTTTGAACTGTGTTTTTAGGAGCAAACACCCATCAGCCTACCTGCCATCACCGATCAGTCCACCTCTAGATCAGAAAAGTTCTTGATGTCTCAATCATGAAACTGTCTCACAGCCCTTTATTCTTTAACAGCCAGGTGTGCTCTTTAATTCCTCTTCCCCACAAAATAGTTGAGCATGATTTGTGAAACTTGGATATGTGTTGCAGGGATAGATTAAAGTGAAAAGTTAAAATATGGATGCCTAGAATGAAAATTCATATCTTCATGTGTTACTGCAGAATTATTTTTGCTGAATAAAGTTTGGATACCTACAGTATGTGTGTTATTCTGATCCGTTGACTCGACAATCGACTCTGGGCAGGAGAACTAAACGAACCCAGAGCAACGTGATGCAGCGACACGCAATGGAAACACAACAGACCAATTAAAATTACAATGCTAAAACATTAGCACACTTACAGTTAACCAAGTTTATTTACACTGTGTTTGTAGGAGTGAAGCTCAGTCACGAGTGGAAATGGAAACAATTTCAAACTCTGGAAGTCGAATTAACTTATACATTTATCTCCATTTCAAGGAAAGTGAGATTCAGAATTTGTTCAGGTAAAATCCTGTAATAAAAGGAAACATTCT